TCGTAATCTGTACTTTTGTGAGAACAAATCATATTCATCTTGCAATTCTTATTGATTATTACCTTGCATTTTTTATTTTTAACTTAAACAAAGAATTATTTAATTTGACGCACGCGTTATGATCTTTCTAAAGTGCAAATTAATTCCATTACCCGCGGCCGTGAAGGTTGATCGTGGATCCAGAAAACACTCGTTGTCTTTGGTTTGCCACATCTCATAATCGCGCAGAAGCAACGCCAAAACAACTTTAGCGTGTAATTGGCCCACTTTCATTCCTGTAAATCGATAAAAGATTGATTTTAATGCTAAAACGGTTATAAAATTATAATCAGAACGATAATTTTCGTGTCTTATCAGATAGAAGATATCGAATTAAAATTCAACTGGGTGTTCCTTATTTAATTTTCTCTCTAAAAAATCCCAAACAAGAAAAAAAATTTTGAAAGAAACAACATGTCATTATACTAAAATAATTATAAAATATCCAAGCTTATGTATTTTTCTTGAAAATAACCAATTGATCATTTATGTTCAAGTTTTTTTATTTCTTTATCCTGAATTATCTTTTCACCGATTATATTTCGATTTAGTAAATGAATCGGTAAACCTGGATATTAGCGCCGACCTCACAGATTTCAATGATCTTGACTCTTGACATATGTTGTCAAGCTCTGAGTAACTTGCAAAAAATTTTAGCCGTCGCTCCTTGTTTATTACAAAGTTATTAACAATTAAATGATATTATAAGAACACATATTAAATGCGATAATCTGAACTTCTCCATGCATGAGCGTTATATATTTAAGTATTTAGTTGTATGTTTAAATTATTAATCGTATATTTAAGTTATTGTATGGGCGGGGAGGAGCTTTAGGATTAAACCAAATTTTAATTTTAAATCAGAAATAGGTTGGGTTAGGTTATCTGGAAGTGTCCCCCCCCCCCCCATGAAAGGGGGGAGGCAAAATCCATTGTGTCCACGCATATACTTTACAACGCAGAGCAAAGTCTACCCTACAATTCTTGTGTGGATGGGAGAGTGTTGCAAGTTTATATTTTCATGCCGAAATATATGTAGTCTTATGTTGCAAGCATCGGTCGGTCACTATCTTCAATTGTTGATAACTTTGTAATAAACGACGAGCAATGGCTAACATTTTTTGCAAGTTACTCAGAGCCATGTCTTTGACAACATATGTTAAGGTCATTAAAATCGGTGAGGTCGGCGCTAATTTTCAGGTTTACCAATGAATCTATTGTATATGTTATATAATTAGTCCGATTGTATGACGCTTTTACTTTTCAAAAATAATTAATAATGAGCATGTATTTTTTATCAATCGCAATGACGACAGCAGATTATATTGTTACGTTCTGGCGACTCTACGATTCCTTTCTTCCGCGACGTTGCGGTAACGATCGTCAGTTGGTGATAAGAATGAATCGTTTAATAAACAAAACATTTTGCGCCATACGTTTCTTTTAAACACTGTTATTTGTCAGTAACTACATCCACGAGTATCCGTGGGAAAGACGCAAGGGGATCGGTGATGGAAACCACGCCGGTCTCCTCGAGATAAATAAAAAATAATCGATACCCCTTGCAGTAGAATTTTCCGGCGGAAGAACAAGGAGATAATAAGAACTTTTTAACGAAATATTTAATAAACGCAGCTACATTAATACTGATAATAATGTTCTAATGGACAAGTACAACTGGATCAATAACAATAAAATCTCCTTGACGAAATATTTAATAAACATAGCTGCATCAATGTCGACAAAATTAATTATAAAAAAGTAAGACCCTTTTCTAATCAAATCATGTGTGCGAGGGTCCGCCGGGAAAGTTAATGCTTAAGGGACTTTTGAACTGATTTCGAGCTCACCAATCGACGATCACCACGGGTAAAAATATGAAAAGTAGAAGACACACCCCGCCTAATGAGGACACTAGCACAATTTTAATTCGTTAAAGTTGAAGAATCCCCACTTCTGCATAATTTCAATTCGTTGAAGTTTTTGGAAGATCCCCACTCTTAAAATTAAAATACATCCCCACAAAAGGATTATAAAAAGAGAACTCGTAAGACTCGAAAGATACATTTTTACATTTCACAACCTTACACTTATTCTCCAGTCTTCAGTTTCACGCAGTCTTACTCTATGCTTTTGCACTGTAATTTGCGAGTTAGTTACTTGTGCAACCAATGTTCTCATTTGGTATCATCTCCAAAGCAACCACGAGTCGAATATCGGGCTACCGACATGAGACACAGAGTGAAATACCGCACAAATTCGTTACCCCTCCACCTCTGAATCACTATTAAAAAAATTAGTCTAATTGAATAATTTTTTCTTTCCAATTCATAACTTTCCGCAGAATGTTTCATTCTTTTAAAATCATTGACCCGTTCCGGCAATAAGTCTTAAAAAATTTAATCTTAATCTGACACATATGCGAGCGACCAATTTTATACTTTCGATCATTCTTAACATATACATTTATTGACTTATATATATATATA